ACGCAGAGATTGAAAAGGGATTCAGTCTGACCAATCCCAACTATTTCCAGCGATTTTCAAATTTTTCATTTTTGGCCAAATTTACAAAGGCTATAAATTGATGGGTTCGGATTTCGATGGAGGAGTATTCGAATCGACAGGAGTGAACCAGGCACCACAAAACTACCTTTGTTTCTGTCAGAAACCACCCCTGTCCACAAAGACTTGAGTTTTATAAGAGCTGGTCTCTCTAACTAAGGGCGGGTAGGCTACCTAAGGCGCACTGGCTAAGAACTCTGCTGTAGTGGGTCGGCACCATGATATTTAGACAGAGCATGTTGTAGGATTCTCTCTTTTCTCCAGATGCAATTAGATTTGGTAGCTCAGGGTAAAGGAACGAACCGGCCATTTACTTGTCTACACCATGACTGATCTTTATTCACAGATCCTCAGCAGTTATTCACAGGGTGTACACTAGCGCCCTCTATATGCAGGACACGACACATGTGAAAAGGGAGTCTGCCCCAGCAATCCAAACCAATTCCAGCAATTTTCAAAATTGCCAAGATTTTTAAAAGACATTTTCAGTTATAACAAATCAGCCTGGATTTTGACAGAGGAGGATTGAAATCGACAACAAAGAACCAAGGCACCACAAAAAACATCAAATACCACCCTTTGATGCACACGAAAGGGAGCTCCTCTTAGTGGAGACAAATTGGACCAGCGTTGGCGGTTACTGTCATGTCAACTCACCTATTCTTTTCGGTAAAATGACTCCATAGACTTCTCTTGCTCATGTCAAGAACATTTCTGGGCCAAGTTCCTGCAATCATATGAAACGGTACTTTTAGCGCTCATCAACTTTTAGTTACATGTAATTAACTCATACACTACACTTTTAAATGCCTCCCCCCATGCGTCTCTAAATGACTATGGCCTTTCAAATAACGAATTTTGGCACTGGATTAAACATTAAGTACGAAAGGGGCAGCTGCAAATTATCTGCAACGCACATTGATTGATTGTTTGGGGGATTACGCAAATAGTACCACTCGGTTTGCACCCCAATCAGAAAGTAATAAAGTTTTCTGTTCCACGAGAATAAAATAGAGTAAAATATATGATATGTGATAAAACACTGGCAGTTCACCCATTATTTGCATAAGTGACCTGCAACAGTATTTAACATACTGCATGGATTGGAGGAGTCTACCCATTCAACACCTTTTCAACAAAGCTGACAGTGAGCCAAGTTATTTACATCACGGGATCATTTACTCGGCCTCAAAAAATAACTTTCAACTTAATTGTGCGTGGAAAAATTGAGCCACAGGAGCATAACCTCTCCTACAACAATAACCGGTATGGAACAATTCAATATTCCAGACAGGAAACAACAAGCACTATACCTTATGATTAATATCGAACAGCGGCGATGTCCACTCTAAAATTCTGGTTAAAATCCTATG